TCCTATGAAAGCATTGGCTAAACGGCCTTCAGTTTCGACGGATGTATCCCGATTAATTAATTCTAGTTAAGCATCAATTCCCTGAAAAGAAACAGTATCTATGACACCCTTAAAGAGATTGCTTATGGGAACAATATATTTCGACACACGACCTTGACTTGAACGTTGACTACCTGCGAGTCAAGGATGGGATTTTGTTTCTTAAATAGGTCATCATTTCTCCCCTCCCTCAAAACATGTAGCAACATATATAATGAGAGAATCTGCATTTGTTAAGATTACATCAATTTATTCCAACCTTTCAGTTTCTTTATACTTTACCTGACATCTTAGAAAGTAATGAAAGCATATCACTCATTCTATATACATTTGTTTTCCCAACAGAGTTGCATTTTTCTGGAAGAATCTTTCAGTGATAAATTAGACTTCGAAAAATCAATTATACGTCCTTAAAATGTTTGGCAACTAAATCAGCATGGAAATTGATGTTTCACAAAAAATTTGATAGAAGGTTATTTATATGACGTTTACAGGAAGAAAACGAGTTGTTTTTAGGCAACTCTGAGTAAAAGTGTGTTCTTCACTCGTGTTATCTAGTTGTTACAAATGACTTAAACTACAGTATCCTGAAATACAAACAAAGGAAAGGCTTTTAGATTGCTTAGGATGTTATATTGATGTCGTGAAAAACGTAGGAGATGACCGATGACACATAACGACGTTTCAAAATTTATCTTTGTTTAAAGAAATATATATTTTAAAATTAAGCTAGATGTTTGCTCGTAATCATTTACACAACTAAATTTTTGGAATATCATTGAGAATATATAATAATATTTACGTTTCCTTTCAAAATTTACCTTTATATGATGCAAAAATCTATTTAAAAATAAGTTATGTGCAAAAACAAGGTATGTTCGGTCGTTTACAGAACTAATTTTGCGGAAAATCATGATGAATTAATTTTTTGGTACATACTGAAGTATCAAATCTTAGCTAAAAGATGGATTTGAAATGTTTTGTACTTTAGGTAAAAATTATGAACATATGGCTTAAATTTCATAGTATACATTATTTGTAACAACTGAAAGGGAAAAAAAAACTTTTTAAAAGACATAAATTAGAAATTAACTGTTTGCATAAAAAAATTAGGCTAATAAAACTAATCTCACTCTTGAAGATTAATTTCACGTAAAAAGTTGCTTTTAGAGTTCTGTGAATTAAGCTTCAGCTCACAAAAATGTAGGAAAAACTGGTGTTACGCTGTAAGCCGCGAAAGCTTAGTAAACAGCTGATTTTATCATGCATAAACAAGTACCAACGTGCTTATCTACCGAGGTCGCTTTGTGAAGTTCATTTTAATTAACAAATTTAATTATTTTACTTAAGATTTGTTGCTTTAGGCTTCATTGCAATGCGAGTGTAACCTTATGGCTTAATACTAATGATTATATTGAATCTTTCTTGGAGTTCTACTATTTCATCAGCTTCGCCAGAAAATCCAAATTAAATTAGTTTAAACAGCTAGCGGGAATCTACGTCTAGAGAGAGAACTTCTTTTTACTTATTACGTGCTCCGCCCTTAGGCACTACACGGAAAGGGAGGGATGCTCCGTGGAGGTCTTTTTAAGGGAAACTGGCTCGTATCCACGTTACACATGGGGAAACCCACGAAAACGCCCATGCAGCCAGCCCGTTCACCGGGACTCGAACCCCAGAACGAACTACCAGTGTTCAGCGGCTTTTACTACTCGGCTGCTGGTGGGCCGAGAGAGAACTTTGTCAATCAATTCAACTTGGTGAAGTATTGTGGCAACTGCTGGCGAGTTAAATTTTCATTTGTAGTTATGTGAGTCCCCCCCCCCCCAAGGGGTTGACTCAGGCGAATGCCTGGGAAGTACTGGTTAGGATCTGTACCTAGGCAGTTCTCAACCACGGGGTATATAAGCACTCTTCATACAAGGCCTGAGGGTAAGGCCTCGGGACAGGGTAAGGCTCGGCAGGGACCGTACTGGTACTGTTTTGTCCGCCCTTGCTCTGTGGGGTCGTTACACGGAGATTGATCCAAGGGCGGGGCGGTATTAATCCTGTTTGGCACCCTCGAGGTTGCATCAGGTCAGGAGCCGTCTCGCTCTAACAGCGTTGTAGTTATGTGAGAAGGTTTGTTACTATAGGAGCTAGGTTCTTAAGCTTTAATGTTTGATTTGGAAATATTCGAGCTATAACTGTGTAGAGACATTAGGTATTTTTTTGAAAGCAGGAGGAATGAAAAATGAGCAATGCCCTCGCCGGGACTCGAACCACGGACCTCTCGAATACGCGTCGAGCGTACTGACCACTACACGACGAAGGCACGCTAAGAAGGTGGGAGGAATATCTTATATACTCCCCCTTTTAAAGGGCGACTGAGGATTAGGGAACCCAATCGCCAAATCCTGGGGGTGGAGAATCATCATCCACCACCTTTTTTGGTTCGGGGGCCACTGTAGAGATATTAAGGTTTTTCGAGCGGTAAAGTCGCTGAAACCTGGTGGTTCGGTCCGAGGTTCGAATCCCTCGAACGGGCTGGCTGCATGAGTGTTTTCGTGGTTTTTCCCCATGTGTAACGTGTATACGAGTCAGTACCCTTAGAAAGTTTTCCACGAAGGCATCCCTCCCCTTAGGCAGATAGCCCTCGAGGCTTTGCCGTAATTAAATAACCTAACCGAACCTAACCTACAAACCCTTCTCATGTTACAAACTCTTAACTCAATTTCTCAGAGACTGAGTACAATCATTAGCGTTTTTGATTGCTAGAAATTTAATGAATGAAATCTATGCCTCCCCACGACCAGAAAATATCTTGGTACTGAAAGTTTCCACGCCTCCGAGTGACAGATGTACCGAAAGTACATCTTTATTTATTACTACCGTAATTGGTTTATGGATCTATTGGTAATAATTCTTAGAAGTTGAAACCAAATGCGAGCGAAAGCAATGAACAATGACTTAAGGTGAAGTTTTTGAATTATAAGACACAGCGCGTTTCTCTCTTTCACGGCACGTTCCATTAGTTCTTGCCAATTCTGAGGAATTTGTAATTATTCCACTTTGTGTGTAATTATTCGTTTCGCGTAATTATTCGGATACGCCGGCAAGATGTTCTGAGCCAGCCTATATTTAAATTAAATTATGTGGTCTTTGACTACTAACCTACGTTTTAAATTGAAATTTATCATTAGCTACATCAGTTGTGGTTGATTCTGTTAGCACAAGAAAGTGCATGTGTGTTCTAGTTCCGCTTAATAAAAAAGTATGTTTTGCACCTTTTTCACGGCTTGGAATTACTTTAGACAAAGCGACAATTCTCTTTACGTCTTATGGGGACAACAGTTCCCGATTAAGGAAAACCCTACAAATGGGGCTCGAATAAATTACGAACCATTTCACAAGACAAGGCAATATTTAGTCTGCCTCCTCCAAGATCGCAGACTTCACTATCACCAACAAGTCGCATGGAAGTCTTCGGATTCCTCGCTGATACGATGCCAGCCATGAAAACCTGCAGCTACTTTTAATGGCAGGAGTTAGGTAGTGACTTTTCATAAACAATTGAATTCTCAGTTTTTCCTTTACCTGGTTGCAGAAGTACAGAAAATCACGATAGCTATCTCCGCACTGCGATGACAGGCACTGAGCTAATAAAAGTTCCATTGGCAAATTTCTGTTGGGAGAACAAGGCAGCGAGAGTTATAAGTTGGTGTGTGTGTGTGTGTGTGTGTATTTTAATTATGGCAAAGCACACTAGGGCTATCTGCCTAAGGGGAGGGAGGACTTTCGTGGAGGACTTTCTAAGGGAAACTGGCTCGTATACACGTTACACATGGGGAAAACCACGAAAACGCCCATGCAGCCAGCCCGTTCGCGGGATTCGAACCTCGGACCGAACTACCAGTGTTCAGCGTCTTTACCGCTCGGCCGCTGGTGGGCCCAGTTACAAGTTGGAAGTGTTTAAAGACGCCCATGTAAAAGTATTTCCCGTGCTGAAAGACAGGACGAAATTGGAAGCGGAACTGTTTGTTAGATACCTGACTAGGGTCGAACAACTGGCTGAATTTATATTGAGGAAAATAAAAGTTGTAAACTTATTGTATAGGAAGAAACGCGGTACAGAAGTTATACAAATTATCATGCCTAAGTTGTTGCCTCAAATTCAGTATTTTTTTTTTCTTTAATTGAGAAACCCAAAATACGCTAGAACAATTATTTGAGCTCGCGGTGAAATTTGAAAGTAGGGGAGCAGCAGTAATTACACGCGAAGAAGGGGTCCGGGCAGAGTTCGAGGGGATATTTGTATAGACCTATAGCGCAAGGAAACTCACGGTCTGCCGGCGGTAGACGTTTTGATAATAGGAAGAAATTTTCAACCACTAATGGCTATCACCAAGATAAATCACAAAAGAGGAAACAGAGTGAAGACGGTCAGAATTTAAACTAATCGAGGATGCTGAAATGGAGGGTACAGTCGCTGTGGAAGGCAGAAAATCCCTCTCGGACTCGGTTCAATACAGTGTTGATTACAAATTTGTCTCTCCCAGTAAGTCGAATCCTATTAACTAATGTGCCAGCGGATGCATTACTAAATAGATTGGTGCAAAGTAGTTTCTTGTCAGAAAATTGTTTTTGAAAAAAATTTTAAACGATATAGAGTATTTGGTATTGAAGTAACGAGAGTAATTTTCGCCCAAGACAAACATTGTGAAAGTGTAGGGAAAGTAATCTTATATGTGCAGGTGAAGAATGAAAACTGGAAGGTGGTTTTATTTCTTGTCAAAAATTTCATAGCTTGGAGTGATAATTCTCTTCATGTTTTAAGGGGTTTACAGTTCCTGATTCAGAACAATCCTATAAGGTATTTTCATTAATGATAACACAGGGGACTTCAAACGCACTTCAGTTGCACTGACTTGATACAAATATATTGGACATAAATAAGAAAAAGATAATAAGCGACTCGCAGACAGATGTTAAAAAAATCTTTATTTCTAACATAAATTATGAAACTGTCTTTTATTACTATTTAACTACGTCTTAGGGTACAGATGGTCATGTCAGTGAAAGTACTATTACAAAACTGCATGCTACACTAGTTCATAATAAAAAAAATTAAACACTAAAAGATGACTGTTGAGAGATATGTTTTCATGAAAATAAATGAAACTGGTTGAATAAAGTGGGTACGGTAAAATTTAGTTTCAATTAACATAATTAAACATAGAAAATATACCTGCTGAAGCACTGTGAAGAATTTTTTTGATACACTCAAGCGTATTATATTAAAATTCTTGCATAAAATGGAGTTAGATATTTCCATTTTAGACTGAAACAACTTGATACATCATGAAATGAAGAAAATATTTCTGAAAATAGAAAGCGTCGAAATCTGTTTGCAGAGCTGAGAAAACCAGAAAATGTCATGATGCGGTATTTAAAAGGTGACAATAAAAGAAGTTCAGAATATCTTTCTTTGATATTCTGAAGTAGAAGATTTAAGAGAATTTTTCAACTGAATTAAAAATAAGTATCAATTTAAATGATTGATTTCTTTTATATCTCTATATAATAATTTTAGTGGAAGTTTTCGTGTTCATACTTGTCGTTATTGTAATTGTTAACAGAGCCCCAAGAGATCTCGAATTTTGACATGAATGAAAAGCTTTCCACAAATTCCATTAGCAAACACTTTAAACTGTAGTTTTAGAATTTTTATGTACCAATAACACAAAACACTTCCATTTAAATACATAATCTTTCCTGCAAGCTTTATGTATAATATTAAAATTCTGCATCATATAGCAGAAATCTGCCTAATTAAAAGAAAAGGGAATTTTAACCTTTACAATACAAGAATAGTTCCTTTCTAATGTTACCTGCAACGAAAAGAACAAATTTACACATGAATAACAATATAATGTAGCTCACAAGCCTTCTTTTTAAAAACTATACCCTTGTAAAGACGATTTCAGGCGTAATACCCAGTTATATATCTTCGACGAACCTTCTTAGAAGATTCAGTTGTAACAAATAACAAATATATAATTTTTAACAATAACGTAGCAATGCATGCAAAATGCATTTCACGTTTTGTAAAAATACTGCATACTTTCTAGTCCCACTTTGTCATTTTCAAGATTTGGATTGTAAACATACTCGCTATCAGGTGCAGCCTTTTCAGGATGATTGTTAGAACTGGCATGATAGAGACCAGATCTACCTGATCGTTCAATTTCGAATACTCCACCATGAAGTATTAAAAATTTGTTTCTTTTAACTTTGTCAGAGTCTAGCTCATCTCCTTTTGTAAGAGTCAAATAATTTTCATTCATTTTCTTTTTCATATCGAATTCAGCAAGGTTAACTCTATCTGAGGTAAACCTGAAAATCTTAGGGTAGTCTCTCGATTTGCTGGGAGCTTTACTTTTGAGAGATTTGGGCTTCTCTTTTGGTTCATTATGATTCTGTTTGCTCACTTTAGTCCTCGTCCCGCTGGACGCTGGTCGAGGGGGTCGTCGGGACGGCCGTCTACCTCCTCCAACAGAATCGCCATAGGAACTAACCGTAGAGCTTCCACTTGATGGCGCCAAGGGTTTTACAGTATTTTCCGGCGGTCTGTCTGGAAAAGCATCTCGCACATAATCAGGAAACCGAAACGGTGGCTGAGGTGTTGTCGTGCGGGATATACGAAATATTTCTCCAAATTCTGGAAAATACGGCAAACTGGGAAAGTTGTCAAACAAAGCTCCATAATCTGAAGAGGAATCAAAAGGAGCTCCTAAATCAGCGGTGAAGAAGTTGGTGGATTCTTGAGCACCGTTGGCCGTTAAATCATAATCCAAATTATTTGTATGGGAGTTGTCCTCAATCGCTGACTGGACTTTATTTGAGAGAGGTGTAACTTTACCAGAAGCAAACTTGCTGTCATTATTTCTTTTTTCAGGAACTTGGCTGATCAATATAGAGGCTGTTCCGCAAGACGCGGTTACCAACAGAATCACCTAGAATATAAAATCGAATCAGAACAGAATGAGCATTAACACAAATAATATTTTATAAAAGAATTTAATCAGAATGTTTATATTTAAATTTCTTAATATTTAGGATAGAAAAACGAAACTTCGTTCTTTGAAAAGAAAGGGAGACAGATATCCATATTTTACAATAATGTATGAAGATAAATAAGAAATGGAAGCATTGATTTTAAATACTTTAGTTTCTTTTCTTTTTCTATTTATTATTTATTCATATTTTCAAAATAAATAGCAAAATTTTGTTCTTTCCGCCCCGCTGTTCTACTCTGAATTAGTTATTCATTACATCCACTTTCTCCTTACGTATTCGAAGTGATCACGACGGCCACGGGATCAAAATAACTTATGGCATTTTAATAACGCAATCAATAACATTTGCCACTAATAGAAGAACATGACAACTGAAACTGTTTGACAGAGAACATCGTTTGCGTCACGAAAGGCTCCTGTTATTATTTTAAGCTACTGTATACACTTTCTGTCCAAAAATAAGTGTTCGATTTGCGATATTTGTTCGTTCATTAACGAATGTTCATTTCTTAAATGTTAATTTAATGCAACACAATTAAATTTTCAAGATTATGAAACACATTAAATAAGCTTTATTTATGCAACAATTATGCTGTATTTACGACACAAGACCCATATAACAAGCGTCTTGTGTCAGAAAACAAGCTATAGGAAATCGAACAATATTTCAACAAGCTTATCGAAATATTGTCCGTTCGATTGAGTTAAGTTCTACACCAGGGATTTTCAACCGGTGGTACGCAAGGTGGTACGCAAAGAAGCAATGTATTTTTAACTATTAAATTCAAAAATTAAAACCCCAACATTCTGATTGAATTTTTTCTTTAACACTGGTAAATTTATGCGATCTGAGCTTTGTCCAAGAGTTGTGGTGGTGGTAGTAGTACTTTGTAGTTGTGGTACTAAAGGTTTTCAATTTCTGTTTAGATGTGTAGGGTTTATATTTATTTTAACTAACATTTATTTAAAGTTTAAACTATCTTTCCTGTCAAGCCTTACTTTCCCCTGGAACTGCCAATGCCAGAATATGTAAATGTGAGTAGAACGCGCAAGCATTCAAATTATCAGCGGAAGTATTCTGATTTAAATAGCAAGGATACTTCACTAGCGCGGAGGTAGTTAGCGAGAATTTGAAGGACCCCGCGTTTCGGCCTATGTGCTTGGCGGGAAGTAGTGGTAATCGTTCCGTGAGCTTCAAGTCTGCTGAATTAGCAGCGGTATTGTAAAACGCGGTGAGTTAGTTATTTTAGAGAGCCTCGTAGTTAGAATCTTGTCTTTAGTTTCTTTTCAGGTTTTTATTTTTATTTGACTGCCGAGTTGGCACCGTCTGTAAGCGTCAAGAGCACGCAATTGTAATTTATTACGTTGAATAAAAAGGGACTTAAACCCTTTACAAGACTCTGTCTTCTATACAGTTCCCACAGTCACCCTTTGGTTGCGTGCTAGTTAGAGGCGCGCAACGTTATATTGGCGCCCGAACAATTATCGAACTGAAATGGCCGAAAATTGGATGGAAGCCGCTGGACAACACCAAGAAATGACAACTCATTTAGAAGGATTTGGATACCTGGTCCAGACTTTTGAGAGCGTCAATCAAGCCAAACGTCATTTCGACGGAAAAAATTCGGTGGCGGTATTTCTAGAAGGTCTAGAAAACCACTTTCAGCTCTACCCTGTTCCTGAAAGACAAAAAGTTGCCATCGCCACATCAGCACTAAGAGGACAGGCCGCGCTATGGTGGAAAAATATAGGCAAATTTTTATTAGGGGAATTTGGAGGCCAGACATATACATTTGAAAATTTCAAAAAATCGTTAGTAAAGGCCTTCCCCATAGTGAAAGATCGCGCACAGGCTGGAAGCCGAACTATATAGTTTCTATCAACGGGATACAGCACAATTGACGGACTTTATTTTACGAAAAATTCAAGCTAACGGATATGCTGTATGGAAAGAAACCCGATGCGGAGATTATTGAAATAATATTACCAAGATTGTTACCCGCTGTTCCAAGACTACTTTGAAATTAGAAACCCAAGCACATTGCAGGAACTTTTCGAATTGGCGGTGAAGTTTCAAAATCGCAGAATAGCGGAAAAAGCGAGAGGGGAAACATATTCTCAAAGTACCCGAAGGAAGGAGGAAACCAGAAATGGAAATCGCTCTTATGGGGGAAAGACTATCAAGCTAACGCATCGAAACTCGAAGGTCAAGGCCCAAAAAAAAATTTGAAATAAACATCCGCGTACCCAGAAGGACACAGATTGAAAGGAAAGCTTTAAACGAGTAGAGGGGCCTGTGAAAGGGAGGGTCCAGACCCCGGAAGTTTTAAAAAAACCCTCAAATAGACATTTAAAACACGGTCATCGTAAAAAACTCACAGCTACCAATTATACAAGTCCTGGTTGGCGATGTACCAGTAGAAGCCCTCATCGATACAGGAGCAGAAGGAAATTTTATGAGTGAAAATTTCTTCAAAAAGAATTTTTTATAGGACGACTTATTTAAAACCAAAATACGGAAATTATAGCGGCGCAAGGAAAACATGTCACTGCATCGGGAAATTATCATTAAACTTACAGGTAAAAGAGGAAAATCTCAAAGTATTAATTTTTGTGGTGAAAGACCTGCAACACTCTCTTATTTTAGGTATGGAGTTTTTAAGGGCCGCGAGGGCCAAATTAAATTTTCAAGATAGTTCCGTGGTGTTGGAGATGGACCAGAGGGTGGTGGAACCTGTGGAGACACCTGCAATTGGACCTTAGCCATCTGAATGACCATGAAAGTAAAGCCATACAGCAAGTGGTGAGTAATTTTTCTCATTTGTTTTCAGAAAAACCAGGAAACTGCCAATAAATAACGCATAAGATTCAATTAAATGCCGAAAAAACCTTGTAGGACTAAACCTTATCGCTATGACAAACAAAAAGACGTAATCATCGAAGAACATATTCAGGAGATGTTAAAGAATAAAATAATAACGCCCATAAATAGTGAGTACGCGAGTCCAGTCGTACTATGTAGGAAAAAGAACGAGTTTCCTCCTTCGGATAAAAGGGCTTGGAGGTTTGCTATCGATTACAGAAAACTAAATAGTATTACTAAATTTCCAGTTTACCCTTTGCCGGTTATAGAGACGAGATCATTAGACAGATCAAATCGACAAGATATATGTCTACTTTGGACTTAACGTCTGGCTACTATCAAATAGCTATGAGACCCGAAGATATACATAAAACCGCGTTTATAACAAAATCGGGCACTTATGCATTTTTACGCATGCCTTTTGGGTTGTGTGGGGCCCCATCAACATTCCAGAGAGCTATGGACATTGTTCTAAAGCCTGTCCTAGGAAAATCAACTTTAATTTATCTAGATGATATAATTATAACGAGTAGTACGTTGGAACAACACATTAATGATCTAGAACAAGTTTTTAAATTATTAAAAGAGGCCGGTCTTACAATTAACGCCTCAAAATGCAAGTTCGCAACTAAAGAACTTAAATATCTCGGTTATAAAATTTCGCAAAAGGGTATAGAAACGCAAGATTCAAAAATAAAAGCTATTAAGAATTTCCCACCGCCCAACACCGCCAAGAAACTTTCTTCTTTCCTTGGGATTATGTTCTTACTATCGATCTTTCATAAAAGATTTCGCTAATATTGTTGAACCACTCTTAGTAATCAAAAGAAAAAGGGTAAATTTACGTGGACAGCGGAAGCTAAACACAGCTTTTGAAAGATTAAAAGAAGCGCTTATTAATGCCCCTGTTTTAAAATTCCCTGAGGGGGACGAAAACCTGGAAATTGCAGCAGATGCGTCAGACTATGCGGTGGGTGCGGTTCTTATGCAAAATAACCATCCTCTGGCATTTTTTAGTAAAACATTGAATCAGACACAAAGGAATTATACAGCTACAGAAAGAGAAACATTAGCCGTATTAATGGCTGTACACAAATTTCGAGTTTATTTCGGCAAATCGCCAGTAACAGTCTTTTCGGATCATGCGGCTGTTGGTAGACTTTACTCGGGGAAAAACCTAACGCCCAGGTTAATAAGATGGGCTTTAAAACTCCAAGAATATAATATCACAATAAAATATAAACCGGGTAAGGAAAACAATGTAGCTGACGCACTTTCTCGTATAAAACTGGACGATGAAGGAAATGAACTTAAATGCGCTGTGTTGACTTCAAAAATTTTAGATTCTAGAGATACGGTTATTACTGAACTGAAAGCTGATCCTGAATTTGGAAATATCTATGCTTATTTGAAAGACCCCGAAAGCTTTGAGCACACAGATATCGATGCGATAAGAAATAGAGCAAAAAACTATGAAATAATAGATAATTTATTATTTCTATACGAAAACAACAAACGAAAATCTTGAGTATAAAGCCAGTCATCCCAGCCTCGCTTCGATTAAGCATTTTGAAGGAAGTTGCACGAAAAAAAAAACAGCGGGCCACCTAGGGGTCAGAAAGACTTTAAAAAGGGTACGCGAGGCGGTATATTTCCCGCAATTATACAAAATAGTAACGGCGTATGTCAGGTCCTGCAATCAATGTCAGTTAATAATTTAATTACAGCCCGGCCGGGTACTTAAATAGCATTCGCGCTACATTTCCGAATGAAATTTTAGGCATAGATCTTCTTGGTCCCTTCCCCCAGAGCGAGTTAAATAAAAATCGTTTTCTTTTAGTAATAGTAGATCATTTTTCAAAATGGACAGAAATTGTTCCACTTAAACGCGCGTCAGCCAAAACAGTCGCAGATGCATTCTTACACAGATACATTTTAAAATACGGTGCACCGATAAAAGTCATTAGCGATAACGGAAAACAATTCATTAGTCAAATATTTGAAAACATATGCAATGGACTTGGCATACGCCATATCAAAATGGTTCCGTATAGACCACAGGCTAACATAGCAG